CAAAAAAAAAAAAGCATAAATAATTAATAAAAATGCAAAATCTCACTTTACCAAATTCAACCAAAAAATTTTTTTTTTGTAATTCAACCAATAATCGATTCTAATAACTAATAATTTTAAGAATGATAATGGAAAAAAAAAACTCATAACCTTATTTAACATTTGAGTAAGTTTAATATATCAAATTTAAGCTGTTTACATACTTAGAAAAGAGAGAGCAAAGAACTTAGTTTAAAATTTTCAAGGCATAAAGAATGTTTAAAAAAACTTAAATCACAAAAATTTTCGACAAGCGAAATAATGAGTGAAAATTGTTATAATATTTAAGCAAAATTAATATCACGACCTAAGCTATCATGTGCATAAATAAGGAACAACTACAAATGCTTGAGAATTTACACTTAATAGTCATTAAAAGTTCCAAAAAGCGATAAATTCATCCAAATTTAATAACAAATCAAGCAAGACAGCATAGTTCTACCCATGAGATAAATTTGACATAAAAAATTTAAACTATCTACATACTTAAATAAGTAAAAACTGAACAAATTTAAAAGTTTGCCCACTCTAAGCATTGAAAATACTAAAAATATCTAAAATCACCATTTTTTTTTTGACAAACCATAAAAGGCAGCCTAGTTCTAAAATTTAAACAAGTTTAACATCATAAATTTAAGTAATCTATGTTCCTAAATGAGCAACAAACAATTCCGGAAAGTTGATCCTGCTTGTTATGGTTGCCATCGTTTTGAAATGGAGACTCCTTTGAAATATTGGTGTTTCTTTTTTCTTTGCTACGTGAAACAGTAGAGATTCGTTTTTAAGAGGAAGTATTGTCGATAAATTTTTGTATGCTATTTTTTTTCCTACCAAAACCAACAAACTCTTTCCGGAAAAGTTAAATATGCTAGAAATATAACTCATTCTTGCCACAGAAAAGCATTACATTATATAATAGAGAAGTAATAACGAAATGGTATAGTTTTCAAAGCATCAGAAACCAACAAAAGTAGTTACTCAGAAACCACATCTAACTTGTTAAGTAACTGATAACCAAGCCTAACAGTGAATAAGAGAAGAGAGTAAAGGGCAGTACTATAACCACTTTCACTAAACCAAACAGGAAAAAGCCACTGTGAATTTCCTAGTGAAGCATTCATATCTTTAGATACGTTAGCGGCCAGGCATCCAAAAAGTTTATAACCAAAATGGATGATGATTCAGAGAACAGCACGTCATCATCAGAACAAGTCTGAGATAGCCCTAACTCTAAAGTTTAAATATACTTAAAAAGGGTTTCAGATCAGTTGCTGGTAAAACCAAAAGCCTATAGTAAACATGGTCAAAAGGTCTCAGCAGAAGAACATAGAATCGGAGACATTCTTGTTCAACCACGGCAGCTGCGGAACAGGTATGGCTCCAGGAGCAGTCACCCCACCATGGCTTGAGGATGTCTCAGGAGCCTCATCAAACTTCAGGAAAGTCCCCAACTGCGAAGCTGCCAAATGCGCATACCAAATAGGAGCGACTGCAATCCAAAGATTAGAAACAAACACCTTTAAGAAATAGAAATACAGAATCAAGCAAAAAACGACAAACTATTATATGGAGATCAAGTGGGAAAATAATTAGGTAAACCAAATGAATTTGGCATTTGAGAAAAAGCATATCACAAACACTAGGGAAGCATCTCAACCAGAATACTTACCTACAGATATGGCAGTGGTACTTCTTTGATTCCTGCATTAGAAAGAGATTACAAGGAATGCAACCGTGATTACAACTTAAAACATTTGTGAAGTAATTACAACACATGATTATACGCTTACGTATATGATAGAGAATGGACAAGTTCTTGCAGTTCGTCAGCTGAAAATCCGATTTCATCTAAGAGAACATGATAATGGGTAGGCCTTGTGGTTCCCTGAACAGCAAATACAAATTATACAAACAAACCAACGTTACAATAAAAGATGAAGGGCTATACCCATAAGACACAGCAAAAGCGTCGAGCACAACTTGGATGAGGAAACCAACCACCGTAAGAGGAACTTCAATTTCAGTCGTGCATTTTCTTTCACAACAAAACATGCATGACAGCCTTAAAATACAAACAATGAATTCTGGATAGAGAAGGCAAGTACAAATGTAGTTGGCAATATCTTGACCAATTAAGTGAGACAAAATTGCAAAATCAACAACCATTAATCAACTGAAACAAAATTCTAGAAAAACTTACAATCATTCCGGCATGTGCACATAGATAAAAGTCATTGTTCTGTGGATGACAAACTGTGTTGTCTATCACGGTTCCTGCAAAACAATAAAAAAAGGATCGATTTTAACAACTATAACAGAGGTACCAGATGACATGCATCAAATAATGAGTGAGCCTCACCAGGCAGAACATTATCAGGAGATCCCTGCTGGAAAAACCTTGTACGATGATTTTTTTGTGCTACGATGACCACAAACCTGGGGTTCCAATTCTCATCAAGATTCTTGCAAGCCTATAAAGTAGAAACGTTAACGAGAGATGTTTTATCCCAAGCACTATCATCTTAATGACTGATTTATAACTAGCACAATTTTCGTACTTATTTTGCATGAATAACTCAAATAGAAATGTACAATTTTCAGTTCCCATGATTGAAAGTCACTACTGCATACCTCAACAATTTGTTCCAGTTCAATGTTCAAAACTTGATTGAACTGTGACTCACTGACCCCGTCCCTGAGTGGAACCAAGAATAATGAGCAAGTAAGCATGCATAAGCATCTCAATAAAAGGTAAAAGAAACATCAGCGCAATAACCACAAACTAGCTTACAAGAAGTATGTAAAGAGATATGATGGTTCATAAGAAGATAAAACAAAATTTGAAAAAGAAAATTGTCAAAAAAGGACATAAATGATGTAAAGATTAACCAAGTACCATAAAACCTGCAATAGAATGATAAAAATTCACAGCATTGTAACATAAAAAAAAAGTTTTGCATAGCAGGTATTAATTACATTCATAGAACCCAACTATACAAAACAGAAATGTAAATGTTAGTTAGGGCTTTTGGGGGGTGGGGGGGGGGGGGGATTCACAACATTTTAAGTCATATAGCCAGAGCAGAAAATGAGAATAATGGAAGAGGCTAAAAAATGAGAATGTTCTGAAGCATTTTAGACAGCAGGCAGAAAGGAACATGCTAGTTTGATTAAAAGTTTAAAGGACAACTTGTACATTCCGTAAGCAGCATGAAGAGACTGAGCAGATCAAATATACTTGAATATCAAGACAGCATTTCACATGTAAAACAGATGATTTAACAGAATAAATACACCCATTACTTAGAAGTTAGAAATCAATACAAATAGAGTTTGCAAAGCAGAGACGAAGCTGTGGCAATTAAGAAGCAGGAAAACCAAATTTTGCATCCCTGAGTTCCCTAAAAATGTATGATTTAGAATATTTTTGTTATATAGAATGAACGTGAGAAACAGCAAAATGTAAAATAAGAAACCTGAATATGATGATTTGAAGAGGCTTCTGTCGTGAGCTTCTAAAAAAGTCAAAGACAGCCTCCCTGATGTCAAAGAAAATACATTAGGTACACAAACTCGAAACATTATATTCCCAAAAATTAAAATACTACAGACATAAATGATTACCAGCAGAATAACATATTACACAACTTTCTTATTACAACCCACCGCCATTGACGCCCCAAGCAAGAAGAGAGAAACAATAATGAGGATATAAAAAATAAATTTTCAACAAATAACTTGTCCCTTTTATTGGCCAATACTTGTCCCCTCTTTAGTCAAATAACTTTAAGATTGAAACGTACCTCATAACACCTCCATCCACCCGGTCAGACACTCGTTTGAATAGTGAATCTATCATTTCAACCCGGGGTGACTGTGTCCGGACAGATGCCCTATAGCGGTAAATGGAGGGCCACTGCCTGGAGTTAACCACCTACAATTAAATACAGTTAAAAAATCTCACAAATTTTGAAGTATAGACAGACTGCCAAATCACATCTCTATAACTGCTTGCAATTTATGGAAACTCAAGAAACCCAATGATAAGGAATAAGATCATCCCTACCGCAGCTATTGACGGGACATCAGACTGCCCAGGAGAGCCATGTGACACATCCATACCAAGGATCATGGTTGGAACCTTGAAACAACAGGGATCATAGAACTTGGAGTTGGAACCTTGAAACAACAGGGAAGGACGTGGTTGTTGGATTGTTAACATTGAATTCAGTCCTCCAAGCTGCGAGCAGATTATGATATTAGCAGGTTTAATTATAAATAGAACAATAACTTAATGGTTTAACTACAGAAGATTAGAACTGCAACCAGAGGAATGGCTTTAAGTTAAAAAAAAAAGAAAAAAGAAATCGTTGGACAGAAGCAGACCTTTGCATTAATCTTGAGAAGCAGATTCGTAAGGTCTGATCAGTGAACTTAGTTGAGCCATACACTGAGTGACTATGCCAGAGTCGGCAAGATTCTTTCGCTTCCATGGACCTTAGAAAATTCGTTGAACTTACTACGTAAGCAAAAAGACTTCCAGGAAAACACGCATAGACAATGTATGAACAGATGAGTTTTGTGCACACCATAAAGATCAGAATTTTCCTGTTAGGCAGCACACAAAGAAGGAACCGTGGAGAGACATTACTTTCAGATTTCATCTCATCAAACATCTTATCCACTCTACCCACAGGAGAGAGACGTCCGTTCTCATTCTTCTCTGTGTACACACCAAATGGTCTATCTACATGCTGAAAAAGAGACATGGAAAAGAACGTAAGCCAACAAGTTGAATTCTATAACTTTGTATGTGCTGATTGACAATACCAATACAACCAAAACAAAAATTAGACAACAAACTTACCATTCCTTTCATTTCTCCGCATCTCATCAGATCCAACACAAGTCGACTTACATCACAACGTGGCCAGAAGTTAACAACACCCCAACTTTCAATCCTAGTTGGCTCCACAAATCTCTATGAAAGCATAACTGAACTGTTGAGAAACAAGAGATGAAACATATATAAGATAGAAGGCTGCAAAAGCAAAGAAGCTATAGACCTTATTGTTGAAATTCCATCGCCCATTCTTAGGCGCGAAAGCTTTACCATCGCCCGCTATTATCTGTCATCAAAAGATAACTCAATTAGCATGTACATCGAAAAGAAGGATCATTAAATTAACCCTCAACAACCAACATACACGTTCCGTATATCAAAGAAAGAAACAAAATTCATCATTAACCTACCCCCGGAGGAGGCAGAATACGGCCTTCCACTTGGGTGAAATTAGAGCTGATAGAAACACCACATGAACGCAGCACTGGTTCAGCACCATAATTACTGTTATGTAAAGCCTGCAAAAAATATGCAACACTCATAAGTTATAGAACAAGTGAAATGCTGAGAGTCAGAAGTTTATAATAGACCTACAATAGACAAGAGCCTCATTCTTTCTTGAGGCTTCTGCCTTGATTTTTCGACCAGCGAAGCTCTTTGGAAAGTGGATAGCGCTTTTGTGTAGCGTTGCAACGACACCAAAGTGCACAGCTATGGCATTGCAACAGGTGCACAACAAATCATAGACAAGAATTAGTTGCTAAGCATATATCATGTAACAAAACAAAGCCACAATGCACTCATTCACCTCCAAAGGAATATATGTTGGCCGCTTTGGCTTGCCAACATTAATGCATGGCAAATCTGCAGAATAAGCCAACTGTATCTTGCGATGGGTGACAAAATATTCATAAACAGTAATCTCCACGGTCTCTGCTTCACCATTCTCATTCTTCATACTTTTCTGCTTCCATGAGAACCTGCATCATGGACACAGCACACAACAAATAAGAAACAATAACTTTAAACTGAAGTATTACACAACAGGCAAGTAGGAAAAGCTCAAAGTTAAATAGTAGCCAATTTAGCACCAATCAAAGAAAAAGCACTATTGTGAGACCGGGAAATCATACATCTGATCTTTGCAGAAAGGTCACTCAATCCGGTAATCTTGTACTCCAGATTGGATGGTCTGACTTCTACCCTCAGATTTTTAAGCACTCGTTTAGCCTATTCAGGGTTTCAAGCAATTGCGGTTTAGTAATTAATAATTGATGCAAAGAACTCAAATTCGCTTGGCAAAAAAATGTAGTTATTGATAACCTTGCTCCAGTCCAGGTACTGAGGATCTCTCATATTCTGATTCTCAAGTAAAAAATCCAATACTGGACCAGGTTGAAATATCACTGTAGTTGATACGTCTGAAACACAAAGAGAAATAGTAATTATACAAACAATACAAAGCACACAAATGCGTAAGTGCTGCGAGATGAGGTTCCAACCAATATTCAGGGAAAGGCCTCCTTGAGTAGCTCTGAAACTTGAATGGAATCCCCTGCATCCTAGGACACCACGGCCAATGTTTGTATAATTATTTTCATCATCTTGGAAAAAAGACTGGCGAACAAGTAGGCATCCCCTACGTAAGTGAACGTAATGTCAGAATAAATATAATATCCGGGATCAAAACCTAAAAGTGGAGAAAAGAATACTCAGGCACATATTTTAACTCACCGTTTTGCAGCATGCTGCCGTAAAATGATATCCAGCACCCTCAGGGCTTCTTGTGAGTTTCCTGATTCCTGTCCACGCAGAGCATTTTGAATGGCTTGCATGGGAATCTTTGCGGCAAAGCTAATCTCCACGTTAAATGTCTTTGGCGGGTGCATACGTCCTAATATCTTCCTTTCACGCTCTTTTTGGCTTTCATTGCCATCAGGGCTTGCACTCCTATTGTTTCCATACATACTTAAAAAATTAGAAACAATGAATGGGAGCAGTGTAAATACTGCAAATCAATCTAAAGTGCACGTCAACCTGTCGGATGTAACATCCTCAAGCACAACAGGAAACTCAAGCTTGGTACTTGGGAGAGGACCAACAGTAAATAAACTCTTCTCCCCATCATACGCAAAGTCCTTTCCAGCCAACTCACTGCTGTAGGTCTCATGCAACTTATCCATCACCTTTCTTCCAACACCCTTCCCAACCACTGGGCGACCATCTTCATAAGAAAGAGAAACCTGTTGAACCAAATTGCAAAAGAAGAAGAAACTTGCATCAATAATTTCTATTTACCAATGAGAAAAAAAGATAAGCAGAGCGAAGTAAGCAATTACATACACTGTAGTGGAAGAAATGCCCATCAACAGTTCCAACATTCACTTTGAAGTGATTTGTGAGAATAGATATCTTCTGCCCTTTAGATCCAAGACCTTTCCTGGCCATTGGGACACGTAAAACCTTCTTTGCAGGTTCACATTCTGCTTTGATTGGTGCCACATTGGGAGGCAGAGGCGGGGGAGGAGGAAGAGAGCCCGTTGCCCCGCTTCCCTCTTTCTCAGACGAGTCCATTTCCTAACCAAGAAAATTTTTCTTACGTGAAAGAAAATAAAAATACTAGTAAGCATTTAAGATTAGCTACAACAGAAATTCCACAAAAAGTAGGTACGTAACAGTATCATTTCATGCAGAAAAAGATTAACTATAACCATTTCATGCAGAAAAAAGTAATTCCCACTTTTAAGTTGATAAATTAGTTATTTTCAACAAAAAAGAAAAAATTAGTAGCAATTACCCTTGACATATCACAATCTTAAAACTCGTCAATCTATACAACTTAGTATCTAGTTCTCTTAAACTATATAGTGTCTGTTTATATGGTTTTATTTTATAGGATTGTTTTTTTTTTTTTTTTTTGTTATTTGAAATATCCTAAGAGAAATCAACAAAAATATATCCATTTCCTTTTGAGAAATACAGACATAGAGATTAAGGGAATTTAGTGAATAAATAATGATTTAAAATTTAGATTGTGGATTTTTGTATTTGTGTCATTTAAATTATAAATTTAATGTATTAATATTATATTTTATACGAAAATTACGTGCCACAATTAATATAGATGATAAAATATAAAATATATATTTTTAATTTTGTTAAATCCATATATATATATAATTATTATTAAAATTATAAATTATATTTCTTTCATGTTTTTATTAGTATCCTATTTCGTATCCCTTTTATTCGTTTTGTGTTCGTGTTATATTTTTGCATGATGTATTCTCTTGGCAAAGTAAACAACAAAATAAAATTTTTCTAACAATATACTCAAAACGTGATTTTTTTTTTCTAGCAATATACTCGTACGCCACTAAGGAAAACAAAGTCAACATGCTCGTACGCCAAAAAAGAAACAAAGCCAAGGCACCAAAACTATATAATATTTAAAAATGAGATTTTTTTTTTCCTAACAAAATGCTTAAGAAACCACATGCATGCATATTAAAGACGTGTTTACAAAGGATACAAATATTACCTAAACATCAGAGGATCTATAGCAAAAAAAAAAAAAAAAAAAGCGTATGTTGATGAATGCTGGAACTTACACAGGAAAAAAAATAGAGAGATAAGCACAAAGGAAAAAAAAAAAGAAAAAGAAAAAGAAACCCTTAGAGTACAAAAAAAAAAAAGGGAACCTTTAAGAATATGAGCTTGAACCAGAGGCACTAATGCTGCTATGCACTAAAACGGTTAACATGAAGAGGCAAAAAGGTGCTGTTTTTAGCATAAAAGTCAAAACTTTAACCAAATATATTGCATCATTTAAGGGATAGAACGAAAAAATACCAAAACGTAAATACCTTTAGCACATCAAGAGACAGTAAAAGACTATAACTGCAGAGAAAGAGTAAATGAAGCGACAAAAAACTTTTAAACGGAGTTAAAAATCCCAACTGAAGCAAAAATGTAACAACTTTCTAAATGGCTTGATTACAAGATGACAAAAAAGAAACCTTTTTACTATAAAAGAACTGAATAATAAAATAAAATAACAAAGGTTACGAAAGGTATACATCTCTCAAAATAGAAATGTGCTCTACAACCGACGAAAACTACAGTCCTTAAAAATAGAAAAAAAAAAAAAAAAAAAAAAACAGCTAAAAAGTTGCAAACTTGAAGTGTTTATTGAAAAAGTAGAAACAAAAAATGGAACGAAGCGCAGATGATACTCAAAAAAGAAGAAAATCCTTGAAAAAAGCCACCTACTGAAGCAGCATTGCAAACTACAACGCTTAAAATTTTCAAAAACAGAGGACCTTTCAAAAATACATCAAAAACCCTGTAAAAAAAAGTCCAAAGAAGAAAACACGAGACAAAAACACTGAAACCAAACAGGTTTCACAGAAAAAAAAATACCTGAAATTTGGAGAGCAAATGAAAGATAGAAACCCTAAAACTCAAAAGGCACTGTCAAATACAAATCTCCTTTCTTGTTTTTTCCTCTCACACGAAAAAACTATAAACAGACTGAAATAAACTCCAAGGACCATCCGTCTTTGTCTTGCCTTAATTTATGTCCTCTGCATCGCGGCTTACACGATACGCTGCTTTACCACGTCTCCACCGTCCACTTGTCAATTTAGATTAGACTGACAATAATTTTTTTAAAACTTCAGGTTAATAAGAACAATATTATTAAATTAATTACTAATTTATTCATAATATGTATGAAAATTTTTGTGAATGATTGAGACCTTTTTATAATTATACAAAGAATTTATATTTGATGTGTTGTATAGATTTTATAAATTATTTTATTGATGACCTAAATCATATTATCTCGTCTCATTAATAATTAAAATTTTTTAAAAGATTATAAATTTTTATATTTATTTTAGAAATTGTTATTTATTTATTAAGAAATTAACTTCATCAAAACACGGTAACGATGTATAAATTTATGTACTATCAAAACATTAAATATAAACTCATTATATAAATTTATTATATAAAAATCATACAAAATATATTTTAAAAAGCCAAATAAAACTTATAAAAAATAAAAATTTTAACTAATACAAATTAATTTTACTGTATTATAGTCACATCATAATAATTATTTAATTAAAAAATTATAATTTCCATAATTAACATTTATATAAAGATATAAAATTAAAATAATTTTATAAAAATTAAAATATTCAATGTGAACGATTTCTATTATCCGATATGTGCATAATTTTAAAAATTTTTAATGTATCGTCTAATAATGAATTCTATTTTATTTGATGTATTTTTAATTTAAAAATAAATTGATTATATTTTCTTTATAATATTTATTTTAAATTACTTTCAATTAAAATTCATATTAAAAGTAATAAAACTTTTTTTCCGTTGTTAATAAATAAAATAAATTTTGTATTTTTTTTCATTATAAATATTCAACCTTAAAATAAATTTTACTAAAAATTATACACGTTTCAACATATAAAATATAATTTATTGGCTCTACCTTTTTAAGTTATGTATGCATGTACATTTAATATGTGGATTTTAATAATATCAATAAATGAATCATATAAACTAAAATTTAATTTATCAAATCAAATCAAATCGAATTAATTTCATTATTATTTGTTATTTATTTCAAAATCTCTCCTTTTTTTTTTTGTCGAATACGTTTAAAAACACATTATACATAAAACTATTTTTATTACTAAACATAAATTACTCTTAAGTTTATTTTTAATTTATTTTCATTCAATTAATTATTTCAAATTACATATTTAAAATGTCATCAATTGCCCTCGATTTGCAAACAGGTGACTATGAAAGTTTTAGTGTCATCAATGATTTTGAACGTAATGAAGGAACGGGTCTTAAATTACACCTTTAGATCAAAGCATTGGACGGCTTTGATTTGATCGTGATAGAATGTGTGATTGCATAAGATCACTACCCTTTTTTTTAATTGTTAAAAAATATGCACATTTGCAGTGCAAAATGATTATGTCACTACTTTAATCATAGATATTCGGTTTTTTGGCAAAAACGATATTAATTTTTATTAATTTTTGATTTGACGATTCTAAGTTTAATTGAAAATCCTCAAAATCCATGGGTTTGTCTGTTTAAAACAATGGGGTGTGTTGAATGATAAAAAAATTGAGTTGGGTGGAGAAGGGTAATTGATAAAAGGAAATGGACAACAAAAAAAAAAAATAGTGGGCGGAGATCATGTACTTACGAATATAACAATAATTTGATTATGCATGACATGTGTGAATAGATTAAGATATCTAAAATTAGATATACGAAGTATTATATAGCTTTTTATAAGAGTAGATATTTTATGATATTAGATTTTAAATATTTATCAACCACTTTCAATTCAATAATTAAATTTTTTTTTCACAAAAAAATGTTGAAACTTTTTTGTCTATCCATAAATGGTTTTATCCTAAAATAATTTTTTTTAATAGTAGTAGTAATTTAATTTTCCATAAATTCTTGTTTTGGTAGACAATATTTTCTTGTAGTTATTCTTTATCAAATACAATTATCAAAATCAAAATATTTATAATTTTTCAACTCTTAATTCAACCATTTTTTTCTAATACTGGCAATATAAAAGTTAGACTTATAATTATAATATTAGATGTTGCATTTCTTTAAAATCGGTAAAATAAAGTGATATACGTTTAAAAATTGGTGAAAGGATTTAAATAGATTATTAAGTAGTCACTGTGAAAGAGATGTTTCAACAAATCCAATTAAAATAAATTAGGTGAATTGCTAATGTATAGTGACCCTTTGTAATTTTTTGTCTATAATAATACATAAAGTTGTAGGATATATATGCAATATGCATATAAAAATTTTTTAGGCTAAGGTCAAGATTGATGGAATAGCAAACATAAATTAGGTTCAATATGTTTAAGAAGAAAAGTTATCATAGAATTATTTAAATCATTCGTAATTGCTTAATAAATTAAGTAATTTTATGTCCTCTTCTATATTTCAACACCTAAAATCTTACTACAAGACATCGGAGTGTCTTTTGACACCTTTCTCGTCCCAAAATACTTGTTAAAAAAAATGAACCTTAAAACTATAACACAAAGTTAATTATAAAGCAATCGTCTAGACAAAGCTCATAACCAATGTCAAACAACCCATTGATCCTTTAACAATAAATCAATTCAACAATTTTATCTTAGGGTTTGAGTCTTAGTCAATCAAATGCATTATAACTATATTAACAACAAAGTCAATTCGATAATTTTTATTATTTAAAGCATTCAGAGATTCAATGTAATAAAATTTTTATGTTAATCATAAAAGATTAACTTATTTAGAATGGCATTAATAATTATCATAAAAAAATAGAGATAATTTAATAGAAAAAATACAGAAATAACACATGTTTAAAAATGAGTAATAACTGGATATGCTTGAGAATTTATCATTTAATATCGTAAAAAGTGTAAAAAGAAAGTCAACTTATAAATCAAATTTGACAAAAAAAAAGCATAAATATTTAATAAAAAATGCAAAATTTCACTTTA